CATAGCTCTAAGTAGGTTAGCCAAAACTTTGCCAGATCACTGCCATTCTTGTGCATATCGTCAATATATTCCTGGAAACGTTGCCCCCATTTCTTGCAATGCTCGCTTTCCATGACTTTGTCCATTTCTTCTTGACAAAGGTTAAGCTTTAACTGCTTTAATTGATCCTTTTGATAATTTATCATCTCCAGTTCATCCTCACATAGTGAACTTTCAAAGTTATCTAATAGTAGCTGCTTTAAAGCTTCGTACATAATCTTGTGTAATCTAACTGCGCGGTTATAGTGCTTACCATTAAGCACACTATCTATCGATCCTTCAGCGATTATTTCGCTTTGAATGGCTACATCTCTGAGGCCAGCATCACCAAAGCGACTTCCGATTATTGCCATTAGCATCATCAGCAGATGGAATCCACCCRTCATTATAACTAAACCTTGAAATTCCGCTTGATGTTTCCAGAAAACCYCCATCGTTTTAGCATAGAACGCCTGATCGAATACACACGCAACTGCTTTTAACYGAAGTCTGTCCTTGATTTCATACCCTCGGCAGAGCACTTCATAAGCTGTCTTAAGGTCAGTAGCGGGAGAGTCCAACGTGTCTAAATAGCCGATGGTGCTCTTTATGACGACGATTTGATCACGTGTTTGGATAAAAAACCCTGTCCATCCAGGAACAAGTAGCAACGGGTGCGTGCGTAGTTTCCTAACCTCTAGCCAAACGAGATATTGCATATGGAGCCGTTTTGATTTTTCTCTGTAGGATGACTTAATGCCTAAGTACTGGATGTGTGAAAGGACACCAGGCCCAACACGCCTTCCACCATAATAATCGGGGATTTCTTTAGTGACAACATCTGCTTCAAGAGAGCGCTTACACCTTCGTTTAGCTGGTTGTGGACCACAGTCTTCGTCATTGTCATCTAAGGTTTCTTCTGATTCTACTTGGGGTTTTCGTTTTACAACAAGTATTGAATTGACCCGATGAGAAGTACCAGCCCCAGTAATCGTACACTCCAAGTTGTCGATGTTGTCCGCTACCATTAGGGCGACCGGTGGGTTATTAGCGTTAATGCACTCTTTTGGGATCAGGACACGGTTTAATGCTTGGTCATTGATAACTTTTAATGCATGTTCAGTTTCGATCTCCTCAATAAGGTTATAACCTATCCCATGTCCACATTTATTAATAAGTTTTACTACTTCAGTATTGTTACAAAGTGCCTTTATCACTGTCGGTAACAGGATACTTTTAGGCGTCTTAATTGCTCCGTTCGATACTGAGTAAACTATATCCTGAGCTAGCGAGTTCTTTAAGCGCASWGTGCGCTCAGACTTGCTTTTTTCCCTGTTCATCAGTTGACCAGATATGAGGACCGTACAAAAGATATCTAACAATTCTRGGATATAATCAGCTACCTTACTTGAATTGAGATCTTTCTCAGTAGGTGGCCATGGCATTTCAGCTGGGTGCTTTTTAATTTCATCGTGGAGTTGTTTTGCCGCACTTATTACCGTTTTTGTACTTTCATCAATGGAAGTTTGCTTGTCGTCCAAGTCACATTTAAGCTCAAAGTTATCAATCACTAAGTTTTCTATTTTCAATGTATTGGGAAATACAAGTACTTTGTTCTGTTGATAATTTATGAATGTCAATTCTTCAAATTTTTTAGATACAACGCGTAGCAGATTTTTGTACTGGGACTGTGTTACGGCCACACCTTGTTTCTTCGCCTCATCTGCCAGTATTTTCCTGATATCTTTGAATTCTATGACTCSAGGATTTAATACTAAATCATTACAGAAAGAGAAAACAGATTCATATAGTTTTTCAGTCATATCTTGCGTTTCTGTAGAGCTTTCAGCGGTCGTTTCAGGCTCATACAGAATTCGTGAAAATGATCGATAGCAGGAAGAATGATAACGCGCTTCGCTGCATATTAAGTCCTTAGCGCATACACCAGAAATTTCTGCAGCAACAGACTTCATGTTAGTATCCCTCTTTAAGTGTAAGAACGCACACTGTTTAATTGTATTGTCTGCTCTAAATTCTTGTACGCTACTTAACTTCTCTCGTGTTTTTGTTCCTGGTTTATATTTTTCTCTCTTACAAAATATACACAAGTCTGGAAGTATTACCGAACTACTACCACTCGATCCCTGACTCATATCGCGAGCACTCCTTCTCAGCTGCGGCTCACTAGTTTGTGCAGTCTCCTTCCTAAGAGATTGTAGATTTTTCTCATTGACAAACGCCTTTCTACAAGAAGCATGATACTTAACTTGTAATCGTGAGAAATCAAGGTCACCTGTTGAAAGATCTTGAATGGGTCGATGTTGTCTAATCACCGCAGCCCGACACAACCTTGCCCACGACTCAGAGTCTTTACAAAGCGCCAGATTATCACCTTTTTCACTGCAAATAACGCAAGCATCCATTKTTCTTCTCGATTAGCTGCCTACACTATGAATCGAGTGCGATTAAATCTATCTCACATTTATTTCACTGTCTCGCCAGTTTGCGTAATGTGGCTGTCAGGAATTTCCATAAAATTGACATTCATGACAAACAAACARTTTTACGAATCTGATCACGAACGCCCTTGGTTACGGGCTGTATAGTATCGGACACTACAGTATGTAAATCAGATTCTCATAACATCACAACGTCTAAATAAATTCACATTCTTCTCGAAAATAAATGATGAAATCACNGGTAGTGACTTCAAAATCTCATCAATAATGACACGTGTATCAACATCTTCATATGCTATTTGTGGAAACAGATTCTTAAATGTATGAGTAAATAGGGTATATACAACAAAGTTGTCTTCTTTTAGAACTCCGACAGTGAGGACTACTGCTTGTTTTGCTRTATATTCAGGTGTGGCATATGATTTGTAACACTTAGGACACACATTGTCATCAAGCTTCTTTAGCCTGCATGAGTCATCCTGGCATGCCATGTACTTATAGAGATTCTCAACAGCTACTACCTCTGCTTGTTCAGAGTCAACATCATCTTCATCATCATCTGATAGCAAATCTAGGTCTTGATTTTTTGACAGCTGGAATATAATAAATATTATAATTTAGAGTGTACTGGTCTATCAAAATGTGCAAAAATGGTGCAATTGCTGCAAAAATGGTTGCTAAATTTGGATATGCTACTGCCAAATTTACAGAAATCAAAGCAAAGATTATAATAATTTAGTCAAGTCATGCATAGTAGCTGCTTTACCGTGAAAACAGAGTGTTATTTAC